GTTAAGTAAACCTTGTTTGACATCATAGCACATAGGAACTTTTCCTCCCATATGTAAATTGAATCAGTTATTGGATTTCTGCTTCTTGAGTGAAAGATAATCAGCCTTTAAAGTGCACCTCATTGCTCTTACGACAAAAGACAAGAGTCAAACCACTATACTTATCTCTCTCCCCACAAAATAATTATGGGAGCCTTCTCCTAACAATGGAGTTATCACACTATAGGGCAACCTCTTAAAAATAGCCCAAAAAACTCTGAATGAAAGAAAGGATACATCTACATTCATAAAGTCCAAGAAGATTTGGTTAATTAAAATTATCTATTGTTGCAATTTTGAAATCTATTGTTTGCAATTTTTTGCCATTTATGTACTAAGTGTTGTGAGGACATTATGGCTACAACATTTGTCACCTCACTGATTGCCAAGTTGATTTGGCAGACTAGGCAATTGTTGCCTTCATTCCTCACTGCTGTATGTGTATTCTACTAAAGCTGTGTGCTTGAAGGAAAAAGTGAAAAGGAGTGTAAAACTCTCTGGTATTTGGTATACAAGAACCTCCCAAAAATTCAAGGAAAGCTTGAATATTTTTAAATAAAGTAGATTACCTGGAAAAATAAATAACTAAACTGAAAGAAAAGTCATTTCAACTTTTTTAACCAATTAAATATATAAATCACTGGAATTTAAAGGTAATTTGCAACTCAGTGAATCAAATTAAATAACTAATTTGTTTCACGATTGAAGGCAAACATACATGTGCCATAATAATGTTGCAGCATTCCAATCTTGGTTGGTCTCCGTGACCAGAGGTTTTATCTTTCAGACTCATGCTGGAGCCCATTTTCAGCCCATTCTCAATTCGTTACAATATTCCCTAATTACTCTGGCAAAATAAGAAAATTACCTACTACTTGAAAAATGTATTTATTTAAACCTATTTCCCACTCACAAAATCACATGACAATTTATATATCACATTATATTGAAATAATGTGAATTGTCTGACAAACTCAAATGTTTTTCTCAAAATTATAGTGTCTTCTGTAAAAGAGAAGATTTATGAGATCCCGTCTCTCACAATTGATTATAAAAGACAAGATCGTAACAGCTTGATGAAATAATTATATAGAGTATAGTTTGAGGACTTGCATCAGAAATTTGGATTCTGGCCAGCTTAAACCAAAGCAAAATGTTGTTAAATACAACCATAGAAGTGATGATGAACAAAGTCACATTTAAGACATATAAAACCCCGGAGAGAAAATTAAAGCATTTTCAAATCAGTTGTATGTATTTCATGAATTGATCCTTAATATATAATGCTAGAATTCCCTATACAGTGAAAAGCATTAGTAATTTATTTAAGTCTCGTTATTATTAATGCAGTGCAGATAAAATAGACATTTAAACTATCTGAGGCATTTTCAGAATCTTTGACTTCTGCCATATGCTAGAAAGTTCTTCTGAAGAAATTATAAAAATTTTGAAGAACTTTTACATTAACAATATTTTAGTTTTGACAGTGGTCTTTATTAAGGAGAAAATATTTAAATTCTGCTGCATTTCGGAATTGGAGCACAGTTACAATTGGTAAGAAAAATATTTCTTTAGCATTTCAGAGGTTAGGCACAGATAATAAATTTATCTCATCCATTTATCTCATCCTTCAAAAAAATTCTAATCATTTGGCAAAATAATTTAGATAACCAATATAATTCCATCATTTATATAAAATCAGATTGTGGTTTACCAAATGAATCCATGTACCCTGTGGTAAATTAATTAGGTGTTTTTATTAATAAATGATCTAAGGAAAAGTTTCAGATTTTCAGTCAAATGCCTCAACTTCTTTATGAAGAGTTTAATTCCATCAGCAGTGTCCGGCAAAGTATTCTTTCTGTGGCAAAACACTTCTAATAGTTTGGAATAAAATAGATTAAATAATTATATTAAATATACTCAAAAATGTGCTATCACAATGGAAAGTGGAAATAAAAAAAATGTTATTTTCAGACCTTTATTCATGCTGCCCCATTGAATTTATTTTATTTATTTTCAATTTCCACTTGTACTCCTGCCAGGAGATATTTATTTGACAGAAAGCAGCAAGAAAAACATAATATTATTTTAAACTATAAAATAATTTATATCAAATATTTTACTTCTGGATTGTTGGGTCGTAGTGTATAGTTTTGTTTTTGAAACTACAAACATTCCAGCATCGCACTGTAGAATAACAATAAAAAGCACAAATATTTTGCATAGTATTAAATGAATAGAGACAGTGAGCTCTTTATTTACAATTATTGTCTAGATTTAAAAAATTCATAAAAACAGATGAATAAACATATAGAAATAATAACCCCTAGTGGGATGGATTGCCAAATGTACTGCTGTATTTTTTTTGTTCCACAGATCTCATGCTTTCAGGTACAATAGAGAGCAAGCATTTTATATATTGCAGTGAATTTCAACATATAGATCATCGTAGTTTTTTCATACCACTCCTCCTGTCACAAAGAGGCCAAGCAATAGAAAAGTACATGATGCACATCTGGTAATCAAAAGGTTTTTTGAACTCATCCATTTTCATCATTTTCTTGAAAAAAGCTCTTTTACGTGTACATAAGCACAGTTTTTTGTTGTTCTTGAGAGAATCCTATGCATCACATTAATATATCATCTATTTTCTTTCTTTTAAAACCAGGTATGTACAAATTGAGTGCTGGTTTCTTTTGAACAGTTTTTCAAGTCAGCAAATGGTAGATACCTTCTAGTTATTTAGGAAGCAATATTACAACACACGCACACACACACACACACATAGTGAAATCTTAAAGAAAAAAATACAAGGGGGAAAAAAGCCAATCTTGGGGGGGGGGAAGGGTAAATCATTATCATTAAAATGTTGTAAACAGAATGTATTCCAATAGCAATAATTCTGTAGTTACTTGAGTTCAAATCGACATGCTTTTCCCTGTATATAGACTTTATATTCTCAGATGCGGTATTCCATGTAGAATATAGAATCTCAGTGATACACAAAAGTTAGTCACTGTTATTTACAATCCAAGGTTGTACCCTGACAAATTTTCAGTTTGATTGTAAGAATAAACTGATCAGCTGGACTTTCCTGCCAGCTGTGAGAGTTAAGAAATGGGAAACACCGTTGAGAAGAGGGTTGCACAAATCTAGAAACATTTGCTGTTCTGTCAGACGTTTGGATCAAAACAAATAGTGTATTGTCAAAATACATCAAAACCATATTAGAAAAGTCCAGAAGCTGACAATTCAAGTTGATTAGAATTTTCCTGGCTGAATAGTCATGAGCATGCCCTTGGATTATTATTCATTTCAAGCTGGCATTTGGCCAGGAACCTTATCTTGACTGAAGTGTTTCTGGCTTGCAATGGTTCTTCTGATTACAGAGTTGATCCGCTTCATCAAACAACTTCAACAGCAGGTAATATTACTACTAGTAAGTTGATAAGCTAAGTAAAATGGTCTTTTGCCCACTCTTCGGGTATCGTTGTGTTAATCAAAATGTCTCCCGGTCTATATTTTATGGAAAAGATCATATGCCGAAAAGTGTTCAAGCAAACCTTGTACTAAATAGAAAAGTCAGTTATGAAAAAATTGTGACCCACAAAGAGCTTTGCTTTCAAATGGTTGACATAACAATTATAGAAGTGTCTACATTTTCAGGGCTGTTACCATCTTGAGGGGGGGGGAAGGTCCAACCACGTACCAAACGTGATTAGGGGCTTGCTTTTTCTGTAGAAAGCACAATATGAAATCAAAGTTGGTTAATTTCTACTATATACGTTTGTGACTATGGGAAGACTAGGTTTTAAAATAATCACACAAAGCACGTTAGTATACATTTCATAAAGTTTCATTCAGAACTACATAGTGCAGAAAATTATATATTTTCTCTTTTTTTTTTTCATATCAAAGCAACAAACCATAGTGGTTCTCATCCAAAATGCCAACAGCCCATATTTTGCAACAAATGAATGTCTACATTTTTAATAAAACAGAATCAGCACACAGTATTCCAATATTAGTCTGATCTTCATACAAAGCTAAATATAACTTATTTTCGAATGGATATTCAGAAACTCCAGTGAACTTTATTATAATCTCTTTTTAAAAAAAATATTTTTAAGAAGCCGTCGCAATACATTTAAATAATGAAATGGCCTCATTATTGAGTATTGCATCAAGATGAAATGAAACAGTTCATTAAAAAAGAGAGAAAGAGAGAGAGAGAGAGAGAGCAAAAAACCTGATTATTTAATTTTTTTAAAACAAAGGAAGCCTTTCTGTTCAGAACCCTCTATTTGGGATCACAATGCTACATCCAGTTTGTAATAGTTTGGCTTCTTTGTTATTTGCTAGCAGTATCTACATAACCCCACCCACCTCCCACCCCCAAACCCCTCCAATCTGTCAGGCAAAAATCAGATCACAGCAAATTGTAAATGATCTCGGCAGGTAGTGCTGTCTTAAACCTACAAATGTTAAGGAAATTATCTACAGTTCTGTAAACAAATTACATTCTTTATTTTCAGGACATAAATAAGTTAAAATAGAATGATTTGAGCAGAAAAAAGGCAACATGCCAACAAAGAAATGTGTGTATGTGTGTGTGTGTGTCTTTATATATATATATATATATATATATATATATATATATATATATATATATATATATATA